ACTGTCTCCTTAAAGGAGACACAGAAACAACAAGGAGACCCCCCCCCACCCTCTCTTTCTCTTTTTCTCTCTTTCTCTCTCTTTCTCTCTCTTTCTCTCTTTCTTTCTTTTTTTTATATATCTCTCTATTTGTTGTCTATTAAAGTTATTATATACACCTTATACAAAAAAAATAAAAATAAAAATAAAAATAAAAATAAAAATAAAAATAAATATTAAAAAAAAAAATATAATAATTACTATTATAACAACAATAAAAATAAAAATAAATATTAGTATTACATTTATTTATTTATTTATTTATTTATTTATTTATTTATTTATTTATTTATTTATTTATTTATTTATTTATTTATTTATTTATTTATTTATTTATTTGTTTTTTATAAAAAAAATAAAAAAGTTTTTATTTTGCGTTGAGGGTTAAGAAATAAAATAAAGCAGTATAAAATCTGTCTCCTTTTTTTCTGTCTCCTTTTTTTTTTCTCTGTCTCCTTTTTTTTTCTTTTTCTTTCTCTTTCTCCTTTTTTCTTTCTTTCTCTTCCTCTGTCTCTTTTTTTTCTGTCTCCTTCTCTTTCTTTGTCTCCTTTCTATCTATCTCTTTTTTTCTTTCTCTGTCTCTGTCTTTGTCTCTATCTGTCTCCTTTTCTCTGTCTCCTTTTCTCTGTCTCCTTGTCTCTGTCTCTTCTTTCTCTGTCTCTTCTTTCTCTGTCTCTTCTTTCTCTGTCTCTTCTTTTTTGTCTCCTTTTTGTTTCTGTCTCCTTTTGGTGTAATTTCTCTTCTTTTTAGGCTGCTTGCATGCTATAAAACCCTAAACCCCAAACCCTAAACCCTAAACCCTAAACCCTAAAGCCTAAAGCCTAAACCCTAAACCACGAGAATATATATGTCGAGCGGCGGAATCTTCTTTTCCTTTTCAGGGTTTAGGGTTTACAACCCTAGGGTTTAGGGTTTAGGGTTTGGGTCCCCCGGTTCCCCAGGGTCTAGGGTTTAGGGTTTAGGGTTTAGGGTTTAGGGTTTAGGGTTTGTTTTTTTTTTTCTTCTTTTTCAAGCGCAAAGAACATCTGCTGCAGCTCGTAGCCGATGCAGGGGCCTGCTGCGGTGTCTGTACAGCTGCAACAAAAAAAAAAAAAAATAAAATAAAAAAAGAAAAAAAGAAAAAAATATTTTAAATATTATAACTTCTTTGTTTATCTGATCAGAACACAGATAGAAGTACTCCTGCTGCTGCTGCTGCTGCTGCTACTGCTGCTGCTGCTGCTGCTGCTGCTGCTGCTGCTTGGGTGTGCGAGTGATGCTCAGGTCTGTTAAGAGAGGTTCTGCTGCTGCAGCAGCAGCAGCAGCAGAGATGTTGTAGCAGCAGCAAAAGTGGTAGTGAAAACAACAGCAGCAGCAACTGGAGCAGCAGCAGCGGCAACCGCAGCAGCAGCAGCAGCAACAGCAGCAGCAGCAGCAGCAGCAGCAGCTATATAAGCACTCACCGTTCATTCAATTGCTCCTCTATACGCACAGACAGAGACGGCTCAGAATCTCGAGAAGCAGAGACGGCACCCTGCTGCTGCTGCTGCTGCTGCTGCTGGGGATGCTTCTGCTGCTGCTGCTGTTGCTGGTGATGCTTCTGCTGCTGCTGCTGCTGGTATTGGTGCGTCTCAGCAGGAGCTGCAGCAGCAGAAGCAGCAGGAGACAGCTGAGGGTTTATTTGGTTGCTGCTGCTGCATGGAGGAGGAGGGCTACTGAACAGCCAAGCAGCAGCAGCAGTTGCTGCTGCTGCTGCTATTCCTGCTGCTGCTGCTGCTGCTGCTGCTGCTGCTCGACGCGGTGCCCATGACATCTCAACAGATATACAGCCGCATTGCAGCGCGAAGCTGAAATCCCATAAACCCTAAACCACAAACCCTAAACCCTAAACCCTAAACCCTAAACCACCACTGCGGCCTATCCAGCTGCTGCAGCCTGTAGCAGGGTGTTGTTGTGTCTTTAGTGTGTTTAATTATGTTTAATTGTTTTTATTTTTATTTATTTAAAAAAAAGAAAACAGAAAAATACAGCTATTCTGTTGAGTGTACGGGCAGTGAGGGCTCGCAGCGGCGGCGCAGCAGAGAGCAGACAGTACACAGCGGGTGTATAAATTAATAAATTTAATAAATTAAATAAAAAAATATATTTTTTAATTAAATTTATTTAATTTCACTCAATAAAATAACTAAATAAAGGCTCAGGAGCGAGGAAGGAGAGAGAAAACAACACGCAGGGGGGCCCCCAGCTGCAGCTGCGGTGTATAGATGCTGCTGCGGTGGCAGTGTATTGTATATGTTTTTCTTTTTTCT